TTTCCTTTTTCCTTAGTCTGAAGCATTAACAGGGGACCATCTATATTGCATGCTTTTAAGAGGGTATTTGTTACCCTGTCGATGTTCGGTTTATCAGGCACGTTAAAAATGATAACATTATGCGATCTACGGAGGCGTTCTTGCGTTTCGGATGCAGTTGAGTCTAGCAAGGAAGCAGCTGTGCTAAATCGGTCTAATGTAACATTTGCTGAACCTCTAAGCAGTTCGCAGAATGATAGAACTTGTTGATAGTATGTGCTGAATTCATGAAGCTTGCATTTCAGCGTGGCTAGACTCCGGTCTGTCGTTTCAGTTTGAATTGTGGTAGTAAAGTTGGAGTGGTTTGCAGTTACATCAACTTCTTTTGGAATTTAGATGAAGGACGTCCCTTTTTACAGTAATATCGGTATGTTTCTAGCAGAGCTATCAGAGGGTTTTATAGTCTTTTCTGTTTTCAACTTCAGCCTGAGGATGGCGCTTCTCGTTTTCACATTGTTAACAGGCATTGCTAGTGGGTACGCGAAAGGATGTTATGGTGCTAAGTGTTGGTCTAATAAGTGTTGAATAGAAATACAAACACAGGGGGACGAGAAAAAGATATGGCGCAGTTTTTGCTGCTATAATTGGTGCAACCCAACCGGTCTAAATTCCGGGTTGTTTTCGCTGATGGGGCAGTTCTTTGGTTTCTCTGTCACCTGCGCGGTTTGTTCGTTTGTTCCTCTATATGCACGAGTCAATGGAGTACGCTCCCATTAAGGTGAAACACACGCAAGGTCGAGTGGCTTTGGGGTGAGAGAAAACTTGCGTTTATTGATCGATGCCGTTTAGGGTCGGTTGTCAGTGAGATGTAGTCCACACGATAGTGGGAAAGCCGATTTTCTGGTTGTATTATGAAATATGGCTCAAGGTACCGTCAAGAGTTGTAGATTGTGATGGTATGTATCTGGCCAAGTGGTTGTTGGATAGAACTGGTAATTCCGAGCCGAATGATTGGAATTTGGTTGGTGTACATTGAGATGGGTAAGGAAAAATCCACTGCAGAACGGAGCACAGAGTGATTTGGAAGGTTTTGCAGAGTTTTTGCGAGAACCGTCAGATATCCTTCAGCACTTGTTCTGATTTTTGAAAGAGGACGCAAAAAGGGATTAAATGGTGTGTAATAGTCCGCAATCCGTTGAGACTGCACGTAGAAGCCATGCAAAGTGTCAAAGCTTCGGTTTTACGTCTGCCGTCAGGCTAGGTGTACCCATGCATAGAGTAGTGCCTTAGAGTAGTGCATGATTATTTGCGGATTGGGACAGGTGAGGAATTAGTTTCATCATACTTGTGCGCACGCTTCCAAATTGCTGACAAGACGTCATATCTCCTCTTCGCCAAATCACATCGCCTGTAATATGCATCTGGATAGAATGACGCAGAATGCCGCACTCTTTGACATGCTCTTGGTGCCATTGAGATCTTAATTCGTGCTTCATTGCGTATCAGAAATATCTCTATTACTCAGAATAATCAAAAAAATCCTCAGCAGTTGGTCAATCGCTTTGTTTCTCTAGATAGTTTTATCACCTACGTTGGTCACTTCACTAGGGTGACCCAAGTCTTTGTAACGTCCCAGTCAGCTGTAACTAAGAAGATACATCAGATTATCAGTGACAGGTTGCTGTGATTGTGTGGCTCAGTGACGTGACCAATTTACACTGGGATTGTCAAGCAGCTCGCGTCTCATTACTTGTATCTGGTGAAGCGTTAATTGAGTTCCAACAGCTGGCCTTTCTGTGAGGACCATTCGCCTCCATGAGTGAATTTCCATTAATCTTGAACCGATTTTGTTTACTAAGTCGTATACCTTTCGTGTCCGTTGACTTAGCTCTGGGAGCATGATTCTTCATATCCGTACCTAGTTGGCTTCAACTGCTGAGTGGCTGGTCTATGAATTAGCGGAAAGGCATAAAGAAATATACTGCATGACATTCGCGTACAGGCTCTGATGGGATTGTGCAATCAGAGGAACGAGACGGATTTACGTGACGAGGCAAGCGGTTAAACTGCTGCAAGCGAACGGAGTAAACAATTATACGCCTACGCATCTCCACCTCCACATTTACTGGTTAATAATTGGCTGCGCTGGAATGAATTTGTTTGGCGGAGTCAAAGGAAAAATGCGGAAGCGTCGTTAGTTATGAAAACGACCTACAGACTATTTGTGCTGTCATTTTCGCCGAGATTGTTTTGTCGGTTAAGCAATTTGTCCCTAAAGGATCGAGTTCTGCGATATGGCATCCGAGAAAACCAAGGCAACTTCACCGAACGCTGCTCATTTGCTGATTGGAGCATAATCAGCCATGCAAACACCTGACCCATTGGACATAAGGGAGCACATGTGGATTAGTAATTAGAGAATTCGGAAAGCTATATGATCGGTTTTTGCTTGTTACGTCTAGACGAACAGTCGATGGCGTATCGCCTGGCGTTGTTTCGACACACGCTCAAAGATGAGGAACACCGCCTGTTAGAAACCATAAAGTACGAGAAGTACGGAGACCCACCTGATCTGGAGAAAGTTATTCGAACATTCGACGATTTCTGTGAGGTCCAGACTAACGTGACGTACCAACAGTACACCTTATTTCCTCTAATCAGGCGCTCTAACGAATCTATCGAGAACTACGTTATGGAGCTGATTATTCTGGCTCTTTTCTGTAGTTCATGCAATTATATGGCTGACAGCCTCATCCGTCTGTTGCGGCAATGGCATTTATCGCTCAGACAATACATTAAGATATACCACACTGAATCGTCAGCTGCACATCACAGCTAGTAGATGCGGTTTCGGACTGATTCACTGCTGGATGCCATATCCAGCTTGCCTAACAAACTGTGAAGACTGTTACCAGAACACAAATTGGAAACTGCACCGTGTGACACCCGAAGGATCGTGATCAATGTCCGGCCTGGGGCCGAATTTGAGCCGAATGTGCCAGACGGAATCATTTCGCTCGATGTTGCCAGTCTCCGAAGGTGAATGCACTCAATCGTTACACAACGCTCTCCGACTCTGAACATTCAATCAGCAACGTGTCGCGGACGGGACCAAAGAAGTATGCCTACGCAAGTATATTGGCTGGCGACGACCAACCTAATGACATCGAAGCGGTGCCCAAGAGTTCTTGTGCGACCTGATGAAGGTTTATTGCCCATGTGGAACGGCTGCAACCTCCATCCTAATGTCCTGGCCACAATCAAAGTTTTCTATCCCAAAGGCGCATCTTCACATCAGTTGGAATTTCTGGTCCCGAAGGAAAATGCTCACGCTGATTCTCTGGTGTCAGCTTTGTCCATTTTAACAATTATCGTTTTGTGCATGCGTATCAAACGGAGACATGTTAGTGACCAGTATCTGTCCGTGTTTGGCCCAGATTTGTGGAGGTTAGGGAGTTCTGTTCATTTGTCAATTGATCCATCAATCCGACCGACTTCGCTACCTGCCAGATGGGTTCCGTCTGCTTTACGTGATAAGTTCTCCACCGAATTAAGTAAATTGATTCAGTTGGGCGTAATCGCTGTTGTCGACCAGCCGACGAACTGGGATAGTCAAGTCGAAATGGTAACGGAGAAGTGCGACAATTTGCATTTTTGTATAGATTCCGACGCTACCAACGCTAAAAGACGTCCTGCTGCACTTGGCTAAGGCAAAGAGATCTCTTTTCGGTAACTCACATCAGGCAAATATGTTTACCAAGATAACTTGGATACGCATAAGCTAATGAAAGCTGAAACGAAAGGAGAGCGTCTGAATTTATTCGGACGGAACTTACTTTGATCGGGCCAAGTGATAAGGCCTGTGTTGTTGATGAAAACCGAACTTATTTGACCCCACTCGACACAGTTTGCTGACCAATTCACGAAGCAAATTGGGTCAGCCGAGAAATGATGCCACCTTTGGTCTCATAAATGTTCCATGCGGATGGATCCTTATCACTGCCACGACAGCGGGAGAGATTGCAGTAGCATCCTCTGCTTGCAAAGCTCCGGTTGCATTACCTTGATCGCTCTCGATTCCGCAATCCCAAGGAGGCGTCTCTTAATCCCCTTAGGATATCGTTTTGACATGGTGTAAAAAACGTCGAAAGCATCATTGGTCAGAATTTCGTGTCCACTTTGAATCAAATGTTCAAGGGTGGAACTTCGGATACCACTGGCAGTGCCTTTTCGTCGGGACCTAATGATTCATCTATCGTAGGTGTTCTGGCACCTGATCTTAGACGAAGAATCCAGTTTCCTAACGACGTTCTCCACACCCTTCGGGTGCTTTTAGTGACTACGTTTATTGTTTGGTTCGAAAATTTTAAGTGAAAATTTCCAAGAACGGTTATTACGAGCTGTTGAACGATGAACACTGATCTAGACAGCGTAACAAGTGTGGAGGACGATGTGCTGACTTGCGGCTATACCGACCAAGAACATGAAGCCAATCTGCACCACCTTTTGTAGCGCTGCGTACAAAAGAACAAAATACTTGAACAGGAAGAAGTTAAGCTCCGAAAAACGGAAGTGATTCTTCATAGGCACTTTCTGATAATCGAAGGAATCAAGACCGATCCGTGTTCTGCGACACGAACATGTATTTTTTTAGGGCTAGTTATCTGGAAATCAGCCAGTTTGGTGTTTTGGAGGTTATCCATTTTAGTGTAGTGTAGTGTAGTGGCAGTGCATAGTGATTGTTCCTTCGGACTTTTCCATTCATATTGAATTTTCAATTGCTTCATTCTACTCTCCCTCTATCCATTATCCCATATCTTCGTGCTGTGCTTTATGTTTTACTTGCTTTTCCCGTTATCCTTACGTGCTATCATGGCGAACTTAGTCATGACTACCGAGTCCATCGCACTTACGGGCCCGGATTATCTATGTTTAACCAAATAGAACTGATTAAAGGCAAATATGGTTTCTCCCCATCCACCTTGCACAATCGCACGTACCTGAAGGCTTAAATCTAGTAGGCTAGAACCTGTCTCCTGTTTAGGAATTATTTTCTGGCCCCTCCGGTTTAATAAATAAATAAGTTTGTATATTTACCGACGGACGGTACACGGCCCCATAAGTGGTCTTATCCTTAGATTTTAAAGTACACGGAGCTTAGTAAGGACCTCTGAATTTCCTTTTGAAGTCCCTATCCATTCAGTTACCACTTTACCTCATATACATTCATAAACTCTTGTTAAATATGAACCTGGCGTACTTTTGTTTTTTATAGCCCGGTGCGGTCAATTACTACCGACGTTATGCTTGATCCGTGTAACTGGGGCATGGGATAACCTTCGAACAATGAAAAACTCCATCAGGTATGTTGTCTACTGGTGATGAGCGAGTTGTATTGCATGATTGCCTAGTTGCATCTCTTCTCTTCATCTTCTTGAATTGCTCAACATGAGCACTGGACCAATCGGTATCAAAAAATTTGCTGTTATATTTGTATCCGGTTATAATAGTAAACCATTCCTTGACCATAAAAACCCGATAAAATGTTATCATCATGCTTGGGGTTTTTCCCGTCTTTTATAGAATACCTCTAGCCGATAGCTCCCGGCTCCATTTACTGCACTGTAACAACGGTTAACTTGACCATCCAGCAGATAAGTGTGACTTACCAGGTTACGAACAGAACCCTTTAGGTGTTCGTGACCATACAGTACACGCGGTGAAAACGATGAACCAGGGGCTACGCTGAGGCCACTCATGACACACCTTGACGCTCATGCGACGTAGCATTGAGAAAGACATAAATTGACCCTTTCATTTTCCACATCATGCCAACTAGAACACAGACGGTCAAGCTACATGTGCTCCCTTCCCACGCGGCCCGTATCCTCGAGGGTCACATGCCTGCCTTGTAATGCGAGGGTGCGTGTTCTAGTCGGCTTAAGGGACCGGGTGACCCTCGCATTATCCTCAGCTCACGTGCGACTGGTGGTGGGGTTGCGCAGCGGCGGTGCGTCAGCGCTGCGTACTAGCGTACTGCTAATGCCTTTCCTTTGTCTGGCAGACTCTTGGTCAACTATACCTAGCCGGTCTATCGCATCTACTCCAGTTATACTCCTAGTGACCGAATGGACTCAAGTTTACTTAGGAGTAATAGCAGTGCAGGTTAAGATTGCGCATCATAACCCATTCACAAACGCGTGCTCAAAAATGATCCCTCCAATCAGTCGTTAAACGCTGTGACAGGAATTGCTCAGCGCAGTTCAGTGGTTTGGGAGTATAGCTTTCGTCTGACGTCCAAAGTTCCCGGGCTTGAATCCCTGTCCTGCAATTTCTATCTGATGACTTCTAATGAGTACGAATTCGGTCGTTTCATGCAGTGTTGCGTGAGTGCGAAATCCAGTG